CGCAACGCCAACTTATATTTCCCGAAACCAAATTTCTACTAAAGTGGAATTTAAAGTTACGAAAAATTAAACACTCACGATTTTTAGTAGTATTTATTATATTAAATTCCATTTTTAAACACTCGAAACTCACGTAAAATATTTGTAGTTTTTGCAAGATTGCGCAATGCATACACAAACAGAAGTGAGAGTCGTCATGAAGTCCAATTAAGATAAAATGGACCGATATTCGATAATATCGATAAGAGTGTAACATAAAAATTAAAAATAGTTACAACGGGGAAAAATAACATGGACAATAGTTTTAACAATAAGGTAATAACTAATAAGTAGTATTGCTTGGTATTCCAGAATACAGTTTGGCAACGTTGCACGGGCTTAACACATTTTCATTAAAAATATTTCGGGCGCAAATGGGTTATGATTTCGGGCGCAAGTGGGTTATAAAAAAGGTGTGATGGGCGCAAATGGTTTGCACCGATATATACAATTCAGAACATTTAAAATAAAACTGATATAAACACTCCGTATAATATATGTTAGTTTTGCGTGAAAAATATAATAAAATAAAATATTATCTTACAGCTCTATAGCCCTTACTGTCTTTGTATTTTTATTAGATAGTGGATAATACGGCATGCCGAGGTGACATCTGGTATATGGGGCGAGAAAAGACTCGCGAGCCACCCAATATAAAATGTAATAAATGTGGAAGAGCCAAAATGGAAAAAAGGTCATATATTTATTATTATTATATAATACATATTTATATACTCGTATATACAATATATATAAATTATGATTATTGTAAATAAGATAAGGTATCGAATTTAATAAAATGTACAAACAAAATAAACACGCAACAAATATAAGAAAATAATTAAAAATTAAAAATTATATCAAGAACACTATATTTTTGCTAAATGTTTTTATACACATTGTAATTTAATAAAATATACTTTTTCAAGTACATAAATTCATATTAAAAATGTTGAGATGAGATGCGAGCCACAAAAGTTTATGACAAGAGCCACAGTTTGCCCCTCCCCCTAACCTAACCTAACCCCCCCCCCCCC